CAATGGGCATGCAGCCGCGGGTTCCTGGACAGGACCCCAGCACCTCATGCACATCAATTGCCTCGAGCTGCTGGCAGTGCGTCTGGCCCTGCACCGCTTCGAGCGTTGCTCAGGGGTCAACATGTGCTTGTCCGTTCAGACAACACCACGGCAGTAGCGTACATCAACCACCAGGGGGGTCTACGCTCACGCCGGTCGTCGCAGCTCGCCCGCCACCTCTTGTTATGGAGTCAGAAGCACCTGAGGTCCCTTCGTGCAGTTACATTCCAGGAGACCGGAACCTGGCAGCCGACGAGCTGTCACGGGTCCGTCCTATTTCCGGCGAATGGCGACTCCATCCCCAGACGGTCCAGCTGATTTGGGACCAGTTCGGGGAGGCACAGATAGATCTGTTTGCCTCCCGGGACTCATCCCACTGCGCCCAGTTATTCCCTGACCGAGGCTACGCTCGGCTCAGATGCACTGGCGCACAGCTGTCCGCGGGGCCCACGCAAGTATGCGTTTCCCCCAGTGAGCCTTCTTGCACGGGTGTTGTGCAAGATCAAGGAGGACGAGGAGCAGGTCTTGCTGGTAGCCCCTATTGGCCCACCAAGACGTGGTTCTCCGAACTCTTGCTCCTCGCGACAGCACCTCCTTGGCCTATTCCTCTGAGACAAGATCTACTCACTCAGAGACGGGGCACTCCGTGGCACCCTCGTCCTGATCCTGGAGGCTACACATGTGGCTCCGGGACGGGACGGGGCAGGTTGTTGCCACCTGTGGTGGCGGCAACCATCACTTCCGCTAGAGCGTCGTCCACGAGACACCTGTACGCGTTGAAGTGGAACCTATTCGTCAGCTGGTGCTCTTCTCGCGGAGAAGACCCCCGGAGATGTTCGATCGGAGTCGTGCTTTCCTTCCTGCAAGAAGGGTTGGAGCGTAGGCTGTCGCCCTCCACCCTTGGGTTTATGTCGCGGCCATTGCCGCATCTCATGATGCAGTGAAAGGTAAGTCTATGGGAAGCATGACCTGGTCATCAGGTTCCAGAGGGGAGCGAGGGGGCTAAATCCGCCTCCCTCCCCTCGTGCCCTCTGGGGACCTCTCAGTAGATCTGGGTGCTCTGCAGAGGCCTCCCCTGGAGCCTTTGCAGTCGGTAGAGTTTTTGCCCTGTCCTATGTGATAGCACTCCTGATTGCATTGGTCTCCATCAGGAGAGTAAGGGACCTGCACGCACTCTTCGTTGACGAAGTGTGCCTGGAGTTCGGGCCGGCTTACTCTCACGTATTCCTGAGACCCCGGCCTGGACATATGCCCAAGGTTCCTACCACTCCCTTCTGGGACCTGGTGGTGAACCTGCAAGCGCTGCCCCTGGAGGAGCCTTGGCACTGCTCTGTCCGGTACGTGCTCTCCGCACCTACGCTGACAGGACGCGGTGTTTCAGGACCTCAGACCAGCTCTTGTCTGTCATGGGGGGAGCCAGAAGGGAAGGGCTCTCTCAAAGCAACGGCTGTCCCACTGGTTAGTGGACGCCATTGCTTTGTCTTACCAGCAGCAAGGCCGTCAGTGGCCCCTTGGTGTGACGGCCCATTCCACTCGGAGTGTGGCCTCCTCTTGGGTCTAGCGCAGTGTTTCTCAAACTTTTTCAGCCCAAGGACCACTTTATCTTCCATTTTTTTTCTGAGGACCACCTAACAAAATCCCACTCTAACACGCCCCCCCCCCCCACACACACACACACAAAAACAAACAAACAAACAAACAAACAAAAAAAAGTTGTAAGGATAAGCTAAATTTAAGTTTAAATTTAACTCCTAACTGAGCTTTGACTGATATAGGCTTTTCATTTTTCTGTCAGTGAAGAAAGTAAACATAGGGTCAACTGATATAGGTTGATTTTGCCTATGAATAATTTTTTTATTTACTGAAAGCTAAAGCTTGGTAATTAAGTTTATTAACCCTTTCACGCGTAAGTTTAAAATATTCTAACTGACCCCCCAGCGTGAGTTTTTCAAGGCGACCGTTATTTAGAACTTGCCACTTTAATGTTTCCATGGTGACGCGTCTTTGCTTGTCACGTGACACAGCACAACCAAAACACGGCGCTGAATGAAGGATGATCTGCTTTTGTGTAATTTTTCCTTTTTTGTTAAAAATATTCATAAATGTATTAGCTATAACATGAAACACTGATATTCCGATTGTCAAATATGTGCAAGTGGATGGGTTTGACATGGTTTAAACAGCTTTATAACGATCGCGTTAGTTGAGCTTTTAGATCTTTTTCAGTTCAGAGAATCAGATCTGTTGGATTTACAACGTCAATTCCTCCACTTCTCACGAAATACATGATAGTAAGTGGCTGGTGAACTGGGAGAAGAATAGGGTCAAATGTAAAGCTACTTACACAATGTGAATCTGATATGAATAAAACGTGTTGTTGTCTTATTATAACTGAAAGGATTATTGCCGCTTCCATAGACATCAGTGTGTATTTTACAAACTCAAAATCATTGTTTTGCTAGTACTTATGTGTATTTAAATGTCTGAAACCTAAAATAAACATTGAAAACACTCAATAGTTGTGTTATATGACAGTTCTGAGTGCGTCCGTCTCTGGCTTACTGCCAGCCAGCGCGCGAGAGCAAGTTTGAATTTAGCAGTTGCTGACGTGAAGCACTGACCGTTCTAATCACACCGGTGTGATCGTACGCTCCAGGGATCAGCCAAGAAGACTGATCACACTGGTACGTGCGAAAAAGTGACGATTTTGTAAACACTTGCCTAGTTTAGGTCATCTTTTCGCGGACCACTAGGGGGCGATGGCGGACCACACTTTGAGAATTACTGGTCTAGCGCATGGCGCCTCGCTAACAGACAATTGCAGAGCTGCAGGCTGCAGGCTGACACCAAACACCTTTGAAGATTCTTATCTGCGAATTGAGCCAGTGTCCTCTCACGTACTCGCTTCCGACAGTACTGGACCCGCTTAGGTGTCTTTGCTTGCTCGCCACTCCACTCCTCGGACTGGATAAGTGCGATATTCACTCAATGTCTTCCATTGAAGCCTTGAGTCCTCCAGCACCGATGATGCGGGCACCACTGCGGTTGCTCTGGATGCTGGCTAGGTGCCTCCATGTGCACGGTTCCCTATGGTAACTGTCTCATGTGTATTATCCACTGTAAGCCTCTATGAGCATGTGTCTTCCCTTGGCAAGCCATCTGCCACCCCTGGAGTTAAATTCTAGTAGCCACCTACGGTTGGTGCTCCAGTGATCTCCATATGCGTTCCTATACGGCCATATGTGTTTTGTAAGTCCTCCTTCGGTAGGCATCTATAGCATGTCCCTCCCGGAAAATGTTTCCCAGTGTACCTTGGTAATACTGTGTCAAAGTGGGATCCCTGTAAAAAAAAAAAAAAAAAAAAAAAAAAAGAAGGTAAGGCTCAGGGGTCCAGACTTTCGCAGGGCACTGGAAGACAGCTTGAAGATGGCGTGATGGCACAGACCCCCAATCTCCGTCACTTATGACGTAACTCGAAGTGACTACGAAAGGGAACGTCTCGGTTACGGATGTAACCCTCGTTCCCTGAGTAGGGAACGGAGACGTTACGTCTCCCTGCCACTTCTGCTGTACCGCTGGGTAGACGCCGAGTTCAGTCTTGGCTCCTCAGCAAAGACATACTGCGGTTGCGTTCACTTCCTCCTTTTATACTCACGGAGTAGGGCGGAGTACGCTATGAAAATTTCCGCAGCCCCAAGGCATTGCATGCCATTGGCTCGTTGTTAAATACTCGAAGAGGATTGGCTTTCATGCGAAATCCCCCAATCTCCGTCACTTCTGACGTAACGTCTCCGTTCCCTACTCAGGGAACGAGGGTTACATCCGTAACCGAGACGTTTTCATACTCCATAAATATATATATTTTTTCTTAAAAAGTTATGTTTTCCTAAAAAAGTACTTTTTCTTGGCCATTTGTCAACTACCCACAGTGACATCATAGCCTACAGTTAATAATTTAGGCTATTAGATGTTTTACATGGATTGCGAATTAATAAGGAGGCTATATGATTGTGTCTAGGATAGCCTACAGTTCGGATAAAAATTAACTTAAAGTTTCAGCTACAACTTATCATTTAAAATTTAACCACAACGATTCCGGTTCTTGTTTTTTAGTAACCTTTACTTTTGAGGAGATATTTTTAGAGGGTTCCACTTCCTGCATTTACTGCCTCCAGCAGTCTGTTGCCATATGATGAAATATTTTCAGATTTAGCCTGATTCAATTATCGCACAGGTGTTTGGACTTAATGGGCTCTATGCATGGCGGTATTTCCGGTGAAGATGTAAGGATGCTCGATAACTTCCGCCGATCGTAGAGTCCAATGCAATACCGAGAATTTATATTGAATTTTATACTCCATGGTTATACTAAAGAAACGTTAGTCACAAAAACAGATAAAACAGACACCCCCTCGTTGTGTTTATGCTTCTTTTTAAAATTATATTAAATAAATATAACTATATATAAAATTACATCTAAACGTATACGTTTCGTTTCAAAGACGGGAGGACAGTAAATTTTGAAGACTCTGCCATAATCCCGTTTTCCTCGGTTTTCCTCCGCTTTAATCTCCACAACCGGAAATGGACGAGCATCCTTGCGTCAAATGCGGAACTTATGCGTGCATATAGCCCATTAAAGAGATAAGTAAGTGAACTATCATATTTGGGTGAACTATCCCTTTGACTATTTTTACAAGCTACATAAATGCAGTTCAATAATTATTCTAAATATATTTGAAATAACTAATAAGAAAAAAATGTAGTATAATTTTTAATGTACACATTCGTTACACTGGCGCGGCGCGCTGAATAACCCCCCACTACAACAAAAATAAAAGTCACCACACTGTGGCAGCAGAGAACATACATACCCTCAACAAAAAGCCCATTCAGAGAAAGAGAGTTGAGAGCAACAAAGAAAAGGAGAGAGAGAGAGAGAGTGTCAGTGTAAAACTGTTTTGAACGTTTTTTCCAAAAGTAACCATGTCACTCCCTCTTTGTATTGAAGATAATCCCCCATTTTCACAGAGATCCAGACACCACCAGACCAAATCAAATGATTTCATGAAGATTTCAATCCAACCCAAGTCACTGTCAACAGATGTCTCTGGGGCAAGCTGAGGGCCAGCACTTCAACAAGCCTGAAACACATCTGTGGCAGCAGCACAGCAGTGTTAGAGTTATTTGAGCGTGAGGGAGTGATTCAAGCACCTCAGGATCTGCAGCTCCAGGACTCCAGACCTGCTCCAACCTGGATGGATCACAGGCAAAAGAGGCTGCAGAGTAAATCATCTCCACCAAAGTTGGATGTCTTTCCTTGAGGGTTTGCTGGGAAGTGCCATTGACTTGTGCAAGGCTGCTGTTATCAACCTGGAATAATGTCCATGGACTGGCGTGACAGGCTGATCATAGGCTTGTTTGTGATGCTTATCCTGAGTCTCAGCTGCTGTGCTGGACAGAGCTATGAACGCTGGGAGGCTGGGTCCTCGTGCTATGGAGGGTTTGACCTCTATTTTGTGCTGGACAAGTGAGTGTTTCCATTTCCATAAGCTTTGAGAGTGTCTTCGTAATGGCACCTGAGAATCTGATGCTGTATGGATGTTAATTCAACATCCATACAGACAGCCAAAGGCAATTTTATTATGTCTCTAAAGAGACACATCAGCAAGCATTTCAGAAGCATCATTACAGTCTCTCATCATTACAGGAAGCGTGAAAACATATAGACATGGTCAAAAGCATATCGTGCAGATAAAATCCTCAAACGCAGAATTGCACTGCAGTACTAGCTGTTGTATTGTATTTTTAATAGCTTTGTGGATGCGTTACCATTTACCATCAAAACAGTAACTATGAGGACAACAACCCACCTCCAGAAAGAGCTTGGCAAAGACATAAAAACAACAGAAGATCTATAAAAGATTTTACAAATTTATTGATGTTTGTGGGATATTTTGGTTGCAAAGGATTATTTTCCTTTGTCAACTGTAACTCTCTTGACAGTTTGCCCTCAGTTTGTTTATGATGCTTATTATATTCAGTTTCAGTATGAAGTCACTTTTTAGGGTCATCATTTAATAGAAAACTCTAGTAGATTGATGCAGGTGTCATGAGGTGATGGTGAGTAGAGCGTTTAGGGCTGTTTGGGTTCCTCTTGTGCTGAACCTTTTCACCAGCAGGGCCAGATGTTCCAAAGCCTCAGAGCTGTCTTGAATCAGAGTTTGCATCTGAGCACAAATGATATGGAGATGAGAAAGGGACCGAGGGGAGGGAGAGATAGAGAAAGTATGCCATTGTTTAGTCATGCTAGTAACATTCTTCATTTATAAGCAAAGATCAGAGAAAAGACGTGAAAAACACACACACACACACCCTGATGAATAGAGTGCATTAGGCAAATATAATATGAATGAAAATATTTGGATTTCTCTTTGGAGGCAGAATAATACAATGCCTTCACTGTGCAAGACAACAGCCCAGATTTTGAAAAAGCCTTTTCAGTGATGGTTATAGGTTCTTATATGATGAGGTCATAGCGAAGTATTGGCTTACACTGCAACTTTTTTTTTTCTGTTGGAACAGTGCAGATGCACAATGGCAATGCTGAAATGGCCTTGGTTTGAGTCTCAAAATGTATATTATATGTATATGTCTAGCATTTGAAATATATTCTGAATTTTCTCTTTTTTAACTCATTAAAATGGACAGCCAGCATTTTGGACCTTAACAGGATCTGGGCCTCAAAAGGTTCACACTCACTTTCCTTGTGTCGAAATGTTCAAAATTTCAAATAAAATGTTTTAAAATAGAACTACTATGTTTAAAATAAAAGTTGCAGTAATTATAAAAAACTAAATATAAAAATAAATATTACATAATAAAAAATTATTTATTCTTTACATATCTCCTCTTCACTAATTTGCTTCCTAATCTAGATGTCTAATAAACTAGCCATTGTATATTATAAAAATTGTTGGCTCTTTTACAAGTTGCTTTAGTACGTCATTTTGGATAAAAACAGCTGCTAAATGCATACATGTACAGTAAATGTGGTCTGTGTCTCAAACTTAAAGTCTTGGCGTGGATCTGCGACTTGGCTTATTGTTTCAGACAAAACCGCAACTTATTTGCAAAGCATTAAAGGTGATAGTGACCTCAACCACAGGTCAGTGAGGTATTCTGAAAAGGAATTTAAAAAGGCAGTGTTTCATATGAATACTACAATAAATTCAGACTTTTTTTAAGTTCACTAAAATGCTGGGCCTTGCATGGTTCTTGTTTTTATCTAAATTTAAGCTTTGAGAAGTTTAGTCTTGGGTCTTGAATGGTCTGCTATTGGCTCCAGTTCCATATCTTCCATATCTCTAAACCAAAAAAAGAAATATATATATATATGTATAAACTATAAAAAATAGAACAGTAAAATAATTAGATATAGACTGTCCACATTAAAAAGAATGTACCACCATCTGTTGAATTGATCAAGACTGAATTAGCAGCACTGGTGTGTTTGTGGTGGTGTATGTGTGCAGAGGAAAGCTTGTGCTGACTTTGGAAGGCTTCAACGTCGCTTACGTAAGCTTAGCATTCTTTATTGATTTGTCTCCACCACAATTGCCCTGCCAGATGAGCTATTACACAAGCTGAGCATTAAAGAAGCCCACTTAACAAGAAGTTAGAGTCTAGATGCTCAGATATCATTATCTGTGTCAGACGCTTTTTAAAACTACTTTTTTAAGACAGTTGGACAGGGACATGCTGCCATGCAAATCTGTAATGAATATTTAGATAATCCTTAAATAGGATATCAGGAGTGTGTAATTTCAGGGAGAAATCACCACCACTATATGACCATGCAGCCTAAATCCTTTAGTGGATTTAATCCATCATGTGAACTTTTAAATGTTTTTCAAAGAGTTGGGTGTTTCCAAGATAGTGTCGGTATGTTACTTTGGCAGATGATGTAATGTCTCATACAGCAGTCATAAATGTCACACCTTCTACTGACTATTGATGCAGATGTATCTCCTCTGGTCCTGCAGTGCGCTGCCTCTGCAATATGGAACAAGGTGTTTTTAACAAAATGATACAGAAGATTGCATACACTGATATGCAAAAGTGGTATTTATCCAGGAACAAAGGACAAAGCACACTTTTTTCAGCGTCCATATATGTGTATGACCAAAAAAAAAAAAAAAAAAAAAAGATTTTCATGTTATTTTGTGCAATCCTAATACTGAACCCTTAATGCATAACATCTTCTCAGGTCTGGAAGTGTACAGCACCACTGGAATGAGATCTACTACTTTGTTGATCACCTTGCACACAAGTTCATCAGGTGATTCCAGCAGAAACTCAACATGCTGACTTTTATTATTTTTTTGTGATCTCATTACTACAATGTATTTATTAAAAAAATCTGTAAACTAATGTCAGATTGTTATGTAACCTAAAGTTTTAGGTAGTTCTGTTAAAATTAAATTGTCAAAAGACTGCACACTTTCCTGTCCAAAAAATATACAGTAATATAAATAAAAGGCTGCAAAGCCAATTGAAGTGCTAAGGAATAATGACAGCTTGTGCAATAGAAATAGCTATAATGGAACTCCTAGTAGACCATATTAATGTCAACTAGTCGGCAACTACAGCATGATGGTCTGTGAATAAACCAATTACATTTTCTTATTCTTCTCTGTCTGCAGCCCCCAGCTCCGAATGTCCTTTATAGTCTTTTCAACAGAGGGAAGGATCCTGATGAAACTTACAGAGGACAGGCAAGAGTTTATAACACATGCTGTGATTTCATACTGTCAACATCTGAAAAGCTTTTGACTTTGATATCTCTTTACTTGCTGTGAGTCTGTCAGCTTTATTTGTGTCGATCCAATAAATCAAGAAGAGCTGGCAGCATTCAAATCCATGCTGGTCCAGGCTTTATGCTGATAACCGTTGGTTTGGCTCTGGTCTACAAGGCCAAAATCAAAATCAAATTTCTTTTTAAGTATTTATTTAAATAAAAAGCATGATGTATAAATAATTGAATAGAGTAAATCGCCATGAAAAATTTACAATATATTAATATTCAGGGATCAGATCCGTGCTGGGCTGGAGGAGCTTCAGCATGTCTTACCGGGTGGAGATACCTTCATGCACAAAGGTTTTCAGAGGGTAAGCAGGTATTGTAAAATACACTAAAGTACAAATCAGAACAAACACAGTTTATTAAAAAAATATTGTGTGGTTTTCTAGGCAAGCGAGCAGATCTACTATGGAACAGGTGACGGTATGTTACGAATTAAATTCCTCTGGTGACTGACTTGACTTTTTTTCCCTTTCTTTTCTTTACAGTAGCTAGATAGGGGTAAGTCCTGACCATAGATGACACAAAATCTTACTTTTGATGAATGGTTATACGCTACTATATCTTCAATTTTGTAATTTCATCTGAATATTTACTCTTGTGAAATTTAGTCAGTAGAAAGGTTAATTTATCTGAATGTGTGTCTCTAGAAAATAGTGATTTATGACATTGTATTATGTTAAATATCTAAGTTTTTGTGTCTACTTGTTAATGAGAGATTTGTGGACACATTCATGTTTTTAAATGTGTGGAGTAATAAGTTATAGTTTTTATTTTGATAAAAAAAATTACCCTATATTAGACCCCTGGGGTAAAGGTGGGTGGGGATCTGGTGGGGTAAAATGGCCTCTGAATAATTGTACATTTTGTTCTATAACAACAAAATTAGCAAATGTTTCTATTTATTTCCTATATTAACACATTGGCTGATGCATCATCATCCTTCACATGCTAAACTTATATCTAAATAGGTTACAGTTTAAAAGTGAATGGCTGCACATCGTTCTTAAAAGGGTGATGAACTGAGAAATCAAATTTTCCTTGAGCTTTTGACATCTAAGTGGTCATCATATTATAAAAATATCCTGTAAGTTTCAGAACTGAAAACGTCCTTGTTAGTCCAATAAAAGCTTTTATAGCTTTTTAGCAAATGACTCGTTTTTAAAAGTGGGGAACTATGACGTCAAAGAGGTTAAAACACCACCCCAGCAGAAGATGATTAACTCCTACTTCAACACGGCCGGTTTAGCCCTGCCCACAGATTCTCGCATTACATGTAATCAGGCATAGCTAAATAACATAGGCCTACCTCGTGATGACAAAATGGGATCGAGCTACTGAGCAATGCAGATTGTGCAGTGCCTGGTTGTGAAAGACGACAGTCGCTGCACAAGCTTCTTCTGGATTCCAATAGGACGGCATGGATAAACTTTATTTTTAGTGACGTTCCAGCTGATGAGGTAAAACATCGTCGTCTGTTCGCTTCATTTCACTGGGGATTGTCCTTTAAACAAGACTGGATTTGCAGACCGATTAAGAGCAAAGAACGGTGCTGTGCCGTCTATATTGGATCTGACAGGAATTGTGCAACACACAGACTCTGGGTCGAATCATTCTGGTTGCCATTTTACAACATTGGACGTTTTCAAAACAATTTCCCCCAAGTGCATCAACGGGACTCATTATAATATGCAAAACTGTTCTCCACTCACAGCAGTGGGTGTTTACTTCCAAGTCTTCAGTGCGAGACACCCATAAAAACCCAGCATTTTTCAGGTAGGCTAAAAACTTGGATACAAAATAGCCTATTACTTATTCATTTGGATGTTTTTAAATGCAAAAACCAAGCGAACGTCATAAGTTGACCTCAGACAACAATATAATAAAATTTAAAAAGCCAGTTCATGACCCCTTTAAAGGAGTAGTTCACTTTAAAAAAAAAACTTTTGCTGATAATTTACTCACCCCCATGTCATCCAAGATGTCCATGTCTTTCTTTCTTCAGTCGAAAATAAATTAAAGTTTTTGATGAAAACATTCCAGGATTTTCTCCATATAATTGACTTTATTGGGAACCAAACGGTTCAAGGTCCAAATGAGAGTTTCATTGCAGCTTCAAGGGGCTTTAAACGACACCAGACGATGAAAAAGGGTCTTATCTAGCGAAGCGATCGGTCATTTAAAAAATAAATAACAACGTTTAAGTTTTACGTGCACAAATGCTCGCTTTGCTCTGTTCTGTGATGCACGTTCGTGACTCTCCTGTTCGAACCCGTTCATCAAAATGAACAAATCTTTTTTCGAGGCATGACTCGAAGGGTCCTAGACAAGACCTTATTCATCGCCTGGTGTCGTCTAAATCAGGGGTTCTCAACTCCAGTCCTCGCGACCCACTGCTCTGCATATTGTGTATGTCTCCCTTATTTAACACACCTGATTCAGATCCTCAGCTCGTTAGGATAGCCGAGTCTATCCTAACAAGCTGAGGATCTGAATCAGGTGTGTTAAATAAGGGAGACATACACAACATGCAGAGCAGTCACGCGGACTGGAGTTGAGAACCCCTGGTCTAAAGCCCCTTGAAGCTGCACTGAAACTCTCATTTGGACCTTGAACAGTTTGGTTCCCAATGAAGTCCATTATATGGAGAAAATCCTGAAATGTTTTCATCAAAAACCTTAATTTCTTTTCAACTGAAGAAAGAAAGACGTGGTAATCTTGGATGTTATGGGGGTGAGTATGTATCAGCAAAAGTTCTTTTTAAAAGTGAACTACTCCTTTAAGGGCCAGGGCATCTTTTCCCACGTTACCTTACTAGGCTAGCTATAACGTTACGTTTTTAACGCCGTTACAACAACCTGAAAAGTTACACTAAGCCGATGTTTAAATTTAGCACATTTACGAAGTAGCTGACAGTTCATTTGGCAAAGATGCAAGCAGGAATGTCGCTTGCAAAAAAAGCTGTTTCATACATTTAAAAATTTCTCCACAAATTTAAAAACATTACTTTTTATCGCACCCCCTCCCATGTTGGAAACGCTGGATAGAATCCTGCTTGTCACAGTGTGAATAGAACCGGAATGGTTAGCTATACACAAAATTTCACTAATATGACCTCACCAAAGTAGCCTATGTTTAAAGATGTCATATTCGTTCTTTCACCTGACAAGGTTTGTATCGGATATACAAAAAATATAAGTAGTCTACCGTCAATATCATGTTATTGTGTTTACCCATCACAAAGAAAGTTTAAAACTTGTTAAAGACAGATGACGGTTAGCTAAATGTAATACGGTTCCCAAAAGACAATGGTTGCGCGAGACGAACCCTAAAGGCTACGATTGATTACTCCCAGAAATTTCTGTCAGAAATTCAAAAAGTAATTGAATAATTTGCTCTCTGAATCATTCTAGGAGGTTCTTCTATAGACTATTATAGATTCTCTCTTCTTTTGTTAGGATACCGCACAGCGAGTGTCATCATTGCTCTGACTGATGGAGAACTGCGCGAGAATGAATTTGACTTGGCAGCCAGAGAGGTGAGACCTTACACCTTAGATCCTGTCATCCTGCCATATTTTCTGTTCTTTCTAGAAACACCAACAGCCTTAAGCTCTGACCCGTGAGGCAGCAACTATTATAAAATAAACTGAACCTTGGACCTTCTTTCTATCAGACTGTCTCTTTTAGCCCATTATCTAGATAATATTTGCATACCCAGACAGCAAACTGACATTGAATCAACGTGGAAACGACGTCTCTCATGACATTGAAACAACGTTGATTTGCTCATCGAATTAACGTTGAACCAACGTCAGACGCGGCATTCTTCAAAGCTAAATGAAATCGAAAATTGGTTTGCTTTCATAACGTTGAAACAACGCGTTGATTTCAAGTTGATTTTCCGTTAGTTTTGAAAGAATGACGCGTCTGACGTTGGTTCAACGTTAATTCGATGAGCAAAACAATGTCAGATCAACGTTGTTTCGATGTCATATTTCCACGTTGATTCAATGTCAGTTTGCTATCTGGGTAGTTTGATATTTCACATGTACTGGCTCTATAATATATGCAACCCAACTCATCTTTTTGAAACCTGTCTTTCATACGGTGAAATGGCAGGCCGGTCGCTCACGTCAGTTGGGAGCTTCTGTGTATTGTGTTGGAGTGAAGGACTTTAATGAAACCCAGGTAAGGTGACAAAATTATTTGCCCCTTCATTGTGAGCAGGTCACCACAATCTGTATTTACATCAGCAACGGATGTACAATGTGAGAACAAAAGAATAGAGAAGCATATTTTTATGATTTCTCATTCGGTCACAGCTGGCAACAATAGCCGACAGCGAAGATCACGTCTTTCCTGTTAATGATGGCTTTGAAGCACTGCAAGGGGTCATTGATTCAGTGAGTGAATTGACTGAACTCAGTAAATGCTACTCTCACATTTTTCTTTTGATAATTTTATTGATGTAAATAGCTGTGTTCCAAAACCTTGTGAGCTGCCTTTAGGTAGCATTTTATGTTGTCAAATGTGCACTTTTAAGACAAAAAGCATGGCTTCTTTTAGTCAAATGCGAAGGCAGCATTGCATGTATCATTCACTGAAAAGGCAATTAGTTAATGTGACTCAGTGAAAAAAATCAACATTTATCTTTTCAAAAATAGTTCAATCTTATTCAAATCCAGCAACAAATTTGGCCAACATCCAGTGGCATGTATTTTGATGCTAATTAGAGTATCTCATCGTTAGCTAATCAAAAAAACACTGTTCTACTTGCTGGCCTCTGTTACACATTGTACGATTTTGTCCCAGGCGCAAGATGACCAAATGTGGTCGTGGCTCCTAAACAGTGGCGCTACGTTGTACAGTGTGAGAGGTTCTGTCGTTGTCACGGTCTTGTCACCAAAGCTAGCCTGCGATCATTTTCTGACAGTGTCAGAAATGTAGCATGATCATCTCACAGTGTGTTTGCTGCTAATGCTATGACCTACATGTCAAGTCAAGTCAAGTCACATTTATTTATATAGCGCTTTTCACAATACAGATTGTATCAAAGCAGCTTCACAGTGATAACATGAAAGTAGCACAACACAGATCAACAACATTGCTAAACACTAAATAACCCCAACTGAGCAAGCTCAAAGCAAGCCAAAAGCAAGGCGACAGTGGCAAGGAACCAAACTCCATCAGATTGGATGGAGAAAAAACCTTGGGAGAACCCAGGCTCAGTCGGGGGCCAGTTCTCCTCTGGCTTACATTCATATTGTTTAAATATAAATATTAAATATAAATATTGTTTATGAATCAAACGGCGCCATAACATATCGCAGGCGTTGAGTCGTCTCATCACAGGCGTTGAGTCGTCTCATCACAGGCGTTGGGGCATCCGAAATCCCCGTGAGAGGCTGGACACAAAACTGGACCTGACGAACGCCATTTTTCTCGGGACAAGCGTCCCGAGATAACAGCAGAAAGGCAGATGGGAAATAATTAGCATAGCTGATGTTCATAATGATTTCCGTTATAACTCACAAACTCTCCGTAACCCGAACTCTCCGCAACCCAACCATACGCGCCGACCCGTTCGTCTAAAAGGCTGTCGAGCCCCACTGGTGCGTTAAGCAGTTTCAGTGGCAAACGGTTCCGTATGGCATAACAGAGGACTAGAAGGTAAGCATTATGTGAATGCTTGACTAAAGAGATGCGTCTTTAATCTAGTTTTGAACTGTGTCAGCGAGTCAGAGGCTCGGACCGTATCGGGAAGGCCATTCCAGAGTTTTGGAGCTAAATGCGAGAACGCCCTCCCTCCTTTACTGGACTTCGATATCCTAGGAATGACCAGAAGCCTTGAATTTAGTGATCTTAAGGAACGCGGTGGATTGTAGGGCGAAAGAAGGTCCGTTAAGTACATAGGTGCTAAACCATTTAGGGCTTTATAGGTCAGTAGTAGTATTTTGTAGTTGATGCGGAACTTAATAGGTAACCAGTGTAGAGATGATAAAATCGGTGTTATATGATCATATTTTCTTGACCTAGTAAGAACTCTAGCAGCTGCATTTTGTACTAACTGTAGCTTGTTTATTGAGGATGCAGGACAACCGGCTAATAAAGCATTACAGTAATCTAGTCTCGAGGTCATGAATGCGTGAACTAATTTTTCTGCATCAGAAATAGATAGCATGTTACGTAGCTTAGCAATGTTTCTAAGGTGGAAAAAGGCTGTTCTTGTAACATATGAAATATGATTTTCGAACGACAAGTTGCGGTCTAGTATAACACCCAGGTCTTTTACTGTTGTGGATAAAGTAACAGGACATCCGTCTATATTAAAGTTGTATTGTGAGAGGTTTTGTGAGTAGTTTTTTGGACCAATAAGTAATACCTCCGTTTTATCTGAATTTAATAGCAGGAAATTATGCGTCATCCAGCATTTTATATCTTTGAGACACTCTGTCATTTTAGATGAGTTAGTGTTTTCATCTGGTCGTGATGAAATATATAATTGAGTGTCGTCAGCGTAACAGTGGAAATTAATTCCATGTTTTCTTATAATATTACCAAGTGGCAGCATATATATTGAGAATAGCAGAGGGCCTAAAACCGATCCTTGCGGTACTCCATAGTCTACTGACTAACCAATAAAATTATCAACGTGACATGGCGCTACAACTTAAAACTCCCTAAAGCTCCATTTGATAGATTAGCATGCCAAACTGGCCTCTTTTCCCTAGCCATGACCACGTCCATATTCTCCTCTTTTGCTTATTCCTCCTCTTTTTTTTTTCAGGGCACATAAAAACCACAATTGCCAAAGTGCGATTCATCTGACTCTATTTGTTTACCACTAGCGCATGCTGATGACGTTTTATTCTATACTAACTTGCATAATAGTGGCCTGCGATTCAATATGTATTATCATTGTACAGTCTACATATACATGTCGTACCCAAGTTCCCCGAAGGGACTACCGCTGCGTGTAATCGCAGTGGGAACGCCCTCAGTGTGACGCGTCTGAAGCATGAATGAAATCAGTCAATGGAGAGAATGAGCGTACGGCGAGTGACGTCATGACCAGGAAGCTATAAATATCCCCTGAGCACACAAGCCGCCAGCTTTTGTTACTTCACCAAGCTCTGTATGTGTGTCTGAAATCTATCGATTGTGTTTGTCTGTTTTAGACAGGAGTTTCTTACTATATATACATATATATTAAAAAAACAGAGCGAGATAGATATATGAAGAGTTCAGATGCAAAAGCCTCTAAATGCCATTTGAAATTTTCTTCTTTAATGATGATTTTTATCAAACTTGTATATTTAAGTTCAGTAATTTCACTTAAATGGCAATGATAATTACCTATTAATTGTTATTTAAGTGAAATTACTGAACTTAAATATACAAGTTTGATAAAAATCCTCATTAAAGAAGAAAATTTCAAATGACATTTAGAGGCTTTTGCATCTGAACTCTTCATATCTATATGTGGCTTGTTTGGGAGTGCAGCGTGCCCAATCGGCTCTCGAGGGAGTCGATTGTGAGCATTGCAAGCGCTGTCCTCTGCGAACTCTGTGCTCGTGGCGATCGCTCTTCGAGGAGAGAGGTATGCTGTGAGCTCCCCAAGGCTCGGGTCCCGCTTCTGTTGAGGCAGAGCGGCGGCGCTTGTCTTGGGGTTCGCAGTGGATCTCACCGGCGATGTTGAGTACGGGCCCCGCCCTATCTCGGCTTTCTCCGGCGGGATCCAGTGCCTCTCACCCGGTGGAAGCACGCGCTGCGGCGGTTACTTCTGCCCGTGTAGAGGCATGAATGATGCATGATGATGTTGAATTGAGATTATCCAGTTCTGAGGAGCTGGATGTCGAAAGTTTTGCATCAGAGGAAACTAGTTTGTCACAGTATACTGCAAATGAAGAAGGTTTTATGGATGTGTTTTCTCAGGCTGTTGAAAAGCTCAGTGTCGAGTGGCCAGCTGATAGACAGGAGTCTAATAGTAAAATTAAACTATATTATAGATTTCTGTCTGCACGACCTCAACCTTCTGCCCTCTAAACCACTAAAAAAAAAAAAGAAAGAAAAAAAAATATATATATATACTTCTGTGTTAGTGGGGAAGGCTTACTCGACGGCGGGTCAAGCGGCTGCATGTATCCACACTATGGAAAAAAAAGGCATTATGCAAGATTTTCAGGCTGACCTGCTTAAAGATGCGGTGAGAGGGGGGAATTTATGTTGAAATGATTAATGAGCTAGAACTGCTTTCAGAATTTTTTGCCCCTTAAAGTGCATGTCGCTGGGGCTGCAGACGAGGGCAGTCCCAGTTGCCGAGTACCTCAAAAAGAGCGTCTCGTGCCCCAACCACCCCCCCAAGAGAAGGGGGGGACAAGGCGGGACGCTCTCTGGCGTGGTCTTCTCGTGGTAGGGTTGATCTGAGGACAGTCATTATTGCCAAGAAGGCCGCGTCGAAAAGAAAAAAAAAAACCTGACGTGCTGAACGTTATGACTCTGAGGGTGGTCCCCATTGTGAAAGACTTGAGTTCACTGCACAAAAACACGGTGCCCTGTCTTTCCCGATGCCCTCAGGAGTCTGCTCTACTAACCCTGCCTTTACAGGGTGTAGAGAGACTTGGCGAGCGATTTCCTGAGGGATACTCGCCCACTCTGGGGGGGGGGGGGTTGTGGAGTGCCCAGACCAGCTGTTCCCTGCCAGTGTGTTACAGAGTGCTGTGTCTGTCACTCAGGATGTTCATCCAGAGGCTAGCCTCGAGAGGCTGGTTCCCTTAGTAGAGTTTCTGGCGGAATGGAAAATTCTCCCCAAAGTTTCTCAGTGGGACCTCGGTTCAGAGGGGTTCTGTCCACAGTGGTGGTCCCCGAGCAGGCTCTGGTATTAGAACAGCAGGTAAAAACTCTCCTGCTGAAAGGAGCTATAGAGCGGGTTCCTCCACCCAGCAGGGAGTTAGGACACTACAGCCGGTACTTCATCGTTCTGAAGAAAGATGGGGGGCTGCATCCCATTCTTGATCTGCGTCTCTTACATCGCGCTGTAGGGAAGCTCAAATTCAAGATGCTCACTCTCAAGCAGATCGTGTCACAAATCAGATCCGAGGACTGTTTTTTTACGATAGATCTAAAGGACGCTTACTTCCATGTGTCTATCCTCCCTCAACACAGGAAGTTCTGGAGGTTCGCTTTCGGGGGCGAAGCGTACCAATATCGGGTTCTTCCGTTCGGCCTAGCACTGTCACCCTGAACATTCACAAAGTGTATGGATGCTGCTATAGCCCCGTTAAGGCTGCAGGGCATCCGTATTCTGAATTATATAGATGACTGGTTAATTCTAGCTCAATCGGAACAACAGGCGGTTCGGCATCAAGGTGTCGTTCTTGCTCACATCAAGAGACTGGGGCTGAGGCTCAACGCCAAGAAGAGTGTTCTTTCTCCATTACAGAGATCCACTTTTCTAGGTGTAGTGTGGGATTCGACGATGATGCAGGCACGATTGTCACCTGCTCGTATTGCTTCGATTCTTGCCACAGTAGAGCAGGTCAAGCTAGGCCAGGCATCCACTGTAAAACAGTTCCAGGGACTGTTAGGTCACATGGCAGCTGTGTCCAATGTGATACCTTTTGGCCTCTTGCACATGGGACCGTTACAGTGGTGGCTCAGAACCAAGGGATTCTCCCCGAGGGGAAATCCGCTTCGCATGTTTGTGAGTTTGCGACGGTGTTATCGCGCCCTGATCATGAGGAAAGATCCTTGGTTTCTGTCCCAAGGCCCTGTGTTAGGAGCTCCTTGTCGTCGCGTTATGCTAACGACAGATGTCTCTCTCACGGGTTGGGGGGCGATCATGGATGGTTGCCCGGCTCAGGGTCTGTGGGAGGACCAACATCGTCTGTGGCACATAAATTGCCTAGAGATGTTGGCGGTGTTTCAGGCTCTGAAACACTTCCTCCCAGACCTAAGGGGCCACCATGTTCTTGTCCGGACAGACAACACATCGATGATCTCTTATCAACCATCAGGGGGGTCTGCGTTCTTGTTTACAAACTGACACGTCAGATCCTTCTATGGTCCCAGGGGAAAATTCTTTCTCTGAGAGCTTTTTATCTCCCAGGGTATTTAAATCAGGGCTGCAGACATCCTGTCAAGACAGGGGCCGAGGCCTGGGGAATGGAGTCTTCACCCCGAGGTGGTGGAACTCCTTTGGAAACATTTCGGTCGTGCCGAGGTAGACCTATTTGCTTCTCGAGAAACATCACACTGCGCTGTGGTTCTCCCTTAGCCATCCAGCCCTGATGGGGTTGGATGCGATGGTACATCCGTGGCCGAGGTCACGTCAGTACGCATCGTACGCATAGTACGCATCCTTCGTGGCACCTTGAAGCTGAGGCCTGCAGTTCGCACAAGGGTACCAGCTTGGGGTCTGGCCATCGTCTTAGAAAGTCTCTCCCTAGCTCCTTTCGAGCCCTTCGAGGAAGTTTCGGAAAAGTTTCTTACTCTAAAGACTTTCCTTCTTCTATCCCATCTCTAAAAAGAATAGGAGATATTCAAGCACTTTCGGTGGCTCCCTCGTGCCTGGAATTTGCTCCTGGTTCGGTTAAAGCTTTCTCTGTCCGAGACCAGGTTATGTTCCTAAGGTACTAACTATTTCTCTCAGACCTATAGTTCTGCATGCTTTCCGTCCTCCGCCTTTTCTGGCGTCAGACCAGGAGAAACTTCATTTGCTGTGCCTCGTTAGGGCTTTAGATGCTTATGTCCACAGAGCTACCCTGTGGAGAAGATCGGAACAACTGTTTGTCTGTTCTTAGGTCACCTAAGCAAGGGTGTCCTGCATCTAAGCAAAGGATGAGCAAGTTGGTGGTCGAGGCCATCTCGCTTGCTTACGGTTCGGCCCATCAGCCTTCACCTTTGGCTGTAAGGGCTCATTCCACAAGGAGTATGGCTGCCTCTACAGCTCTTCTTTCAGGAGCTTCTCTTCAGGACGTTTGTGATGCGGCAGGCTGGTCCTCACCGCACACTTTCGTCAGATTTTCTATTCCCTTGACCTTAGCTCCACTCCCAGGGCTCAGTTTCTCTCGTCGGTTTGTGTCTCCTATTAACACACGACAGGGATTTGGTCGTATGGGGATGTGGGTTTTCCATTCCTACTGCGATTACACGCAACGGTAGTCCCTGAAGGGGAACGTCCCGGGTTCCGTATGTAACCCTAGTTCCCCGAAGGGACGGACGCTGCGTGTCCTGCCATTCTTCCGGCATCCCCTTGGGTCGCTTGCTTCAGTAACTTTAAGCTGGCGGCTTGTGTGCTCAGGGGATATTTATAGCTTCCTGGTCATGACGTCACTCGCCGTACGCTCATTCTCTCCATTGACTGATTTCATTCATGCTTCAGACGCGTCACGCTGAGCGTCCGTCCCTTCGGGGAACTAGGGTTACATACGTAACCCGGGACGTTTATTAGATCCACGGATATAGTGTGATTTGTATTGATTTCATAGGATTGCCAAAATCGCACAGTCTGTAACAGGTATTACACTCACCCCTCTAAACCTCACTTCCATATGGGTCACGGCACCAATATAACCCCTCCGGTTCTACTCGTACCGTGTCGAGCAGGATTCTAAACAGTGTTTCCAACATGGGAGGAGGGTGCGATAAAAAGGACACTAAAGAGTGCAGCCTCTAACGTCAGTTGCTAGTACGCCTCTTGAGGCCAAGCAAGTGGGGTTTACTTAAACAGCTCTTATTTGCTGGCCTGCATTACACTAAAGGTAAACTCTATTGTAATCAATTGTGAGTTGACGCATATTAGAGCACAACCGTGTAGAGCACTACAATCAGTCATTTATGAGTTTTCATGAGTTAAGGCACAGGTATATTTCATGTTCTGCTCCATCTCGTGTACAGTTGAGCGAGCCTTTCAAAGTACACTCCTTTGGCCTCGAAGTCTAGTCACTCACAAATGCACTGTTATACGTGCACCATCCGCAGGGCCACAAAATAATTGGGCTGCATGCGGAAAGACCCTCCTGATGACTAAAATTACGTCACACGGACAGGGTACAGTGCTTTAGAATGGTGCATACTGTATGCACTGGAAAGAAAGCCAGCTCACTAGGTTTGGGCGCAGAGCCTTTATATCACACAAGTAAAACTTACAGTAAGTTGTCTAAATTGGTGGATGTCTCTACAATAAATTGACAAAACATTCAAACATAAACTCATACATTTTTCTTGCCTCAGATTCTGAAGAGATCCTGTATAGAGATCCTTGCTGTGGAGCCCTCGAGTATTTGTGCAGGAGGTAAACATACGTCAGGCCTGAAGCAAAGACCTAGTTCTGACAGACAACAAAAATCTTTTTTTACATATTTAACTGTAAATCACCACATGAAATTTGAACTTTATATGAACTTATATATTAGATTGGGGGGGGGGGGGGTCTGTTTGGTACACATATATATAACATTAAACGCAATGTGTTTCCTCCCTCCCAGAATCCTTTGAGGTGGTGGTTCAAGGGAACGGATTCCTTCACGCCCGCGATGTGAGCAGAATCCTTTGCAGCTTCCGTATCAACAACACCCTCACCGTGAGTAAGTGAAAAACGGCACAGATGGATTCATGTTCCTTGCATTGCTAGCTGTGAGCTGCTGAATTATTATAGACCATCCTGTGTTAGCATTAACTGCTAACCAAAATGATCTCCGCAGTTTTTAAAGAACAAAAGTGATAAATGACTGAAACTTTTAAAGGGTACATATCATGCTTTTAAATCATTCATTTTTACATATAAATCATACCGTTGTGGTCTATATAAAACATAACTGCAATGCTTGGGTCTGAATTCCTCATTATTATAGCTCCACAGGCCCCTTCTACCCCTTTTCTGATGTGCGTCTTTGAGCGACCCGTTTTGAAGCGTCCCCTTTAAATAAAAAGGAGATGCGTCATACCCCGCCCGCTCTCCAGGTCGCCAAAGAGTATAGAAGAACAAGAGGCGAAACTCTGATGCTTTTTTGGTAACAGCCACTAGATGGCGCTTCGGTAGCGCGGCCGCCATATCGGGGTGAAAATTCCAACTGGAGTTACTGGACAACAGCACAGATAACAGTTTTTTTAGGTAGTTTTTTCTTGCATTAGTGAGTATTTCCATTGTATGCAACTTTACACTTTTACTACTATTATTAGTTACCAACTCCACTAGGCCTGAAATATATTTTGGACGTTTTAATCCCCTGGATCATGCTACAAACATGATGATTCATTGATGCATTGTGTCCGTTATCCTATAACTAATTGCCACTTTGGACATTGGCTGTGTTTTTTTGTTTGTTTACATGGTCTTGCGTCATTATTATAAGATATTCTATTGCTGTTATATATTTATTGTCAAACATTTATTTTAGTACAATAACATTCATTTGCTGAATTTATTTCATTGATAACTTATTTTTGTAAGTAACGTTATGTGTACCTCCCGGGAAACGGTCTTATTATAACTTTATGAACTGATATCACTTTATTCTTACCTATCACACTTAATGTGGAGAGTAATATAATGAATTTAATCCTCAAACTTCCCTGTCTCAAGTGGGGGTTGCCCGGTTAAGTAGCAACTTCTTTTTTAACTGCTATAAAGTTAACTGTTGTGAGTTAAATAATCACCTAGCCTAATTATTTCAACCTAAAAATGATCTCTGCACTGGACTAAATATATGTATATTATATGACTGCCGAGTCGCTTTCACCCCGAAATGGCGGAAGCGTAGGGCTGCTGCTGGGCGCTGGTGTTGCAATGGAACGTTCTATTGGCTTTCACTTCTTGTCAATATACGTTCTTTGAGGTCGCTGAGTTCACACTCGGTTCAACTCCCCACGTTCGGCCATTATTGTAGTTTGATTAGAGATACACGATTATATACGATACCTTCAAAGAACATTTTTATTCACACGTTAATAAAATGTCAACAACAGAAGATTTGTCCATCAAGCCTTACATTCGAGCCAGAGCGAGCGAGTTGATAAAGACGACGACGAACTTGCAGAACAACGTCTTCATATGGATATATTGGTATGTGAGTTAACTGTTTTGTGTTATTAGTGAACGTCGACTATTTCTCTTGTTAAAACAAGCACACTGACAAGATAAATGACTACAGTCTAATCTTACCACAAACAATCTGTATTGATAATATGATACGTTTAGAAAAGCATCAGAAAAGCAGCTAAATGACCATTGATGAAACTCAAGAACAATAATACTGCAGACGTGTAACATTACTTCAAAACAAAAACAAAGAAAGACAAAGGTACTGCTAAACCATGACCACCATGTGTTTTAAGAAAGTAAAGTACTTTATTTTTATTAACGATATTTACAGCTTATCGAAATGCTCTGTTCGTCGTCTCCAAAGATAGAAGGAATTTAAGTTACCTCTCATTCAGACGAAGTCAATCGGCAAACCTGTCTGTATAACGTTACTGGCGGAGGTTGTTCAAGTGGGAATCCTTGAAGTGCTTCAGGTCACTACATCCAAAAACCGAACATTTTGACTTTGCCCTCTCGTAACTTCTGCATCATTGAGCTCGGACTACAAAATCGGAGCGAGAAATAATAATGGTGGATTGCTCGAAGTGTTGGACCGGTAGTCAATGTCCTTATTTGGCAGTTCTGCTGCAAATACATGTGTTGTAGTTCAAAAAACGTCATAGAAAACAGAAAAATCTGAACAGGTTGAAAAATATGGCCAAAACAGAATATAAAGATATAAACGTAGCACCTGAAGAGAATAATTTCATCTTTTCTGTACTTATAAACACTCCAAATATACAACAAAATGCATTTAAGGGCTAAAAAAGCATGATACGTCCCCTTTAAAGAGTCCCTATCATAGCATTTGAAATGTTCCTATTTTTGTTTTAGGAGTTCCCAAAAACAGCTTAACATGCATGCAAGGATAAAAAACACTTTATATGTCTTATAATATGCATTTATTTTTAACTGATTTGCTCACCGACTCCCAAATGATTCGTACAAAGACGAAAAAGGTTTTCCAAACCACTTTGCGTGACATTAATCGGCGGTGATTGGTCTGATGACAGACCCAGTCAGTTATTGTTTGTTAGCATAACCGTAACGCATAAACATATTGATAAAGCACTGCAGCACTACAAGACACTCTATTCTTTATGACGACTCCAATAACAGCGACAAACATTTCACATATTTAAAAAAAATTGACATTGGAGACCGAGACCTAGAAGCTGCGCTGAGTGTAACTTACACACACACAGATACACGCGCACACACATACTGCCTCGCGCCCCGACGCAACAAAACCATTCAAAACCCTTAAAAGCAACAATTATTAATAATACTTACAGGTTGTGATTCATAGGAAGAAGCTGATCCATATACACTGGGTAAGTAAGTAACTGAGCCCTTCGGGAACAACCGCTTGCAAATCCACATTTGAATTCATTTATGTTTTTGAACTAACTAATGATGAGAACACAATCGGGCTATACTGTTGTGGTATCGTTGCAAATATGAACTCTAACCAGAGATTCTTCACATGCTCGTCCCTGGTAAATGAAAACAAAGTGGCTGAACTATCTTTGCATTGTAGAACACAGCATCTTCTCGACATGATGCTATGATGAAGTATTTGAATGTGTAGACTTCAAGTTTACACTTCTGTCTGCGCACGCAGTAACTGGGCGCAGCCAGTATGTATCTATGTCACTACGAACCAGCTAATGACTCGTTTCAAAAACAATTCATTTCATAGACTCAGAGTCGACTCTCACTTTTGAAAGACAATAACTTTATATACGGTGCACTTTCAGATATAAATCTTTGCAGGATGTTTTCATTCCCTTAGAGCTATATTCCACACCATATGAACAGTCATTTTCAAAAATCCATGATAGGGGCTCTTTAATTCATCCAGGCCAAGCTCAACTCACCAGTGGAAATCGAAAAATAAGAATTGTCTCCATGCATGTGGCAATGCAGACAGCTTTTTTTTTGTCCTTTGTAATGATAAAGAAGCCAATTGAATCCAAATGTCAGTATGGCTGCCGTGTTTTCTGCAATTGGGTCGAGAAAGGTTGGCCGCAACACTTGTAAATCAACAAACTTGCCTTGAACGCAAATTACATGTGCAACAATCACACATCTACACACCATTAAAAGACACACCATGGAAAATATTACCAGGACTTTTGGTTCAGGGTAGTAGATATTTTTAATTGTTTTGTATATGTATTGGTTTGATTAGCACGTGTTGAATGTGTTATACTAATGATACAAAAAAACATATAGGTGAACAAATTAAATTTATTTTAGGGTTATGTCGTAAATTAC